CTACAAAGCAGCTGGTGAGTTTGAACCACCAGCCTTCTGGTTAGCAGCCAAATGCCTTATCCACTGCACTAGAGCTAGTGTTTTTCAAATTCTTTATTTCTTTATTGATCTTCTTTCTCAATGTTCTGTCCACTATTGAAAGTGTATTTAAGTTTCCATGTATTGTTGTTGAATTGTCTATCGTTCCCTTCAATTCTGCCAGTGTTTGCTTCATGTATTTTGGTGCTCTGATGTTATATTTATAATTGTTATATCTTCTCGATAAATTGGCCCTTTCATCATTATGCAATGCCCTTTCTTGTCTTTTATAATAGATTTTTACTAAAAGTCTGTTTTGTCTTATATTAGTATAGCCACCCTAGCTCTCTATTGCTCACTATTTGAATGGGATTTTTTTTTTTTTTCCATCCTTTCACTTGCAACCTATTTGTGTATTTTGGCCTAAGATGTGTCTCTTATAGATATCAGATAGATAATAGGTCATGTTGTTTTATCCATTCTTCCATTCTCTGCCTTTTGATTGGCATGTTTAATCCATTTACATTTGAGATAATTACTAATAAGGAAGGATTTACTTCTGCCTTTATGCTATTTGGTTTTTGTGTGTCTTATACATTTTTTGTCCATCATTTCCTCAAAAAAATGCCATCATTTGTGTGTAGATTTTTTTGTAGTGAATCATTTTGATTTCCTCCTCTTTTCCTTTTGTGTATATTTTTAAGATACTTTCTTTGTGGTTACCATAAAGATTACATTTAGTGTCTTAAATTTATAACAACCTAGTTTAAATCAGTAACATACAAAAACTCTTTCCGATACTCTTCCTCTTCCCCTTTGTATAGCTGTTGTCATAATTACATCCTTAAATATTTCTGCCAACAGCATAAATTTGTAATTACATTTTATGTATTTGTCTTTTGGAACCATGCAGGGCATAACTATTAAAGTTACAAACCAAAACCACCATAAAACTGGCCCTTATATTTGCACATTAGATTACCTATATCAGAGACCTTTACTTTCTATATATGGCTTTGTGTTATTGCCTAGTGTCCTTTCAGTTCTATCTGAACAGCTCCCCTTAGCACTTTTTGTAAGGTAAGCCTAATCACCACAAAGTCCCTTAGCTTTTGTTCTTCTGGGAATGTCTTCATTTCATTTCATTCTTTTAGACAGTATTTTAGGACATAGAATTCTTGGTTGGTGATTCTTTTCTTTAAACACTTTAAATATGTCATTCCACCGCCTTCTTGCCTCCAAGGATTCTGAAGATAAACTGGACTTAATCTTACTTGTAGATTCTTTGGATGTAATGATTAATTTCTCTTTTGTTGCTTTTAGGATCCTCTCTTTATCTTTGGTTTTCAAGAGTTTGAGTATAATGTGTCTCCGTGTGGTTCTTTTAGAGTTTATCCCACTTGGAATTTGTAGAGCTTCTTAGATTTGTAAATTCACATTCTTCATCAAAAGTGGAAAGTTTTTTGCCATTATTTCTTCAAATATTCTATCTATCCCCTTCTTTCTTCTCTTTCTGGGATTCTCATGTTGTGTATGTTGGATTAATTGTATCCCATGGTTCCATTGGGCTTTTCTCAGTTTTCTTCATTCTTGATTTTTCTTTTTGCTTGTCAGACTCCATAATTTTGATTGCTTTACCCTCTAGTTCACTGATACTTTTTCTTCTGCCAGCTCAAATTTCCTACAGCATACTTTCAATGAATATTGCATTTAAGTTAGTATATTTTTCAGTTTCACTAATTCTGTTTCCCTTTTAAGCTTCAGTCCTTCAGACAGCTTTCAGACAGTTCAGAATAGACTCAGTGAACAGTCCACCAATAATCTGCCCTGTTTATTCCAGAGTTAGAAATCAGCCCCTTCTCTGAGAACATGAACTGTGGTCTGTCTCTGCTGCAGCAGCAGTTGGGGCTACCATTCTAGGAGAAGAGGGGACAGAAACAGTAAAAACAAATTTTTCCTAAAAGTCTAAAAGTTACTTTTTTCTTGTTTCACCTTGTGATTAGTATATGCAGAAATCCTCTGCGTGTCTTTGAGAGAACTTACACAGTTGAGGTTATAGATTTCTAGCTGCTTCCCTTGGTGCTCTTGTGCAAGAATCAGGATCTTAGACCTGCTCATGCAGCCATCTTTCTGGAAGTCCCTCCATGTATAGATTTTTTTTTTCCCATGATGCCCTGCCTTAATTGACTTTATGAAGTAATTAATAACCACTTATCCTTATTATGTTCGATTATATAATTTCTACTATACTGAAAGGAGCTCTGGTAGTGTAGTGCCTAAGGCACTTGACTGCTAACCAGAAGGCTGGCGGTTCAAACCCACCAGCCACTCCTTGGAAAGAAGATGGGGCAATCTACTTCCGTAGTGATACCACCTCGGAAACCCAAGGAGGGGTCGCTATGAGTTGGGTCCAACTCGATGGCACATAACAACAACAACAACTACACTGAAATGTGGCCAACAAAGAATATATTATTTTCTCTAATCTCCCAATATATGAATTTTTATATGTTGTTGTTGTTGTTGTTATGTGCCGTCAAAGATGAAATCACTTAAAATTTTTATGCTTTTGCATCCTAAAATATATTTAATTTCAGGAACTTTAGAAGTATAAATAAAGTTATTAGGGTTAATCTTAAGTTCTATTAAGTAGCTTTAAGCATACAAATTTAACCTACCTCAGGTGTATCCTTAAGATAAAGAAAAGGTCTAATAGATCTTGATTTTTTATTTTCTTCCGTCGGCTGTGGTCTCTCTAAAGAAAAATCCAAAAATAAATGATTTTTTTTATGCTAGTCTACTTATAATTAAACCTGATATATCATTTTCTCTATAAACAGTAAACTTTTTATAAATGTAGTTTGATGTTAATATTATTTGCTTACATTAGCATTGATTTTACTTTTCAAAGGTTGTGTTTACGCTAGAATGATTTGCTTTAAAAACGGATTTCTACTAACAGAGTATAACTTTAAATTATATATTACTATACAAGAAAGTTGAACCTCCTTGGAAAATATGGATTTCTAAATAAAATAAAACCATACTTGATATTCAAAGGAATCCTTTGGTTAATTCCTTCAAAATAAAGCAGTAACACTTTCCACCTGCATTCCTCATCCCTAATTATGAGTTTTACAAATTTGGATTATCACTTCATAGATTTTCTTAAAGTAGATAAAATGTAGGGGTTAAACATATAGTCTTTGTATTTAGAAAGCCTCAGACTAAACCTTATTTTCATTATTTGTGAGTTATGTAACCTTAGGAAAGTTACTTAGAGCCTTAGTTTCTTCATCTGTTTTATGGGAATAATAGTATTTGCCATATAGGATTGCTGTGAGGATTAAATAAGATAACAGATGTAACAAATGTGACACTTCATCTGGTATCCATTCAGCTGATCACGTACTATGTGCCAGGCACTGGTGCTATAGCCTGGAATTGTTATTCCTGTAGAATTATGCTTACATTTTAGTGAGTAAGACAGAAAATAAACTCACTTAAGGCAGGGCATCATTCAAAAAAAAAAAAAAAAAAAAAAAACTACACATGGAGGGACTTCCGGGAAGTTCCAGGAAATTGACAAGCATTCTAGTTTTACCTAGTAAAAAAAAAAGAAGACTCAATTTATGCAACTCAGAAATGAAAGAGGTGACACTACTCCTGACCCTACAGAAATAAAAATTATGATACATACTGTGAACATTGTACACCAAGAAACTAGATAATTTAGATAGAATGGACAATTCCTAGAAAGACACAAACCTATTAATATTGACTCAAGAAGAATTAAATAATCTCAATAGACCCACAACAAGGGAATAATTTTAAGTATTAATCAAAAACTATCCACAAGAAAAGCCCAGGCCTAAGTGGCTGGTAGCATAGTGGCTAAGACACTTGCCGGCTAACCAGACGGCTGGCAGTTCAAATCCACCAGCCACTCCTCGGAAGGAAGGTTGGGCAATCCTACTTCC